GTGGAACTGGTCAAGTTGTTCGAATATGTGATTTGCTGAACAAGCGTTTTGTTAAATGGTTGAAAGGTCATAGTGATACTATTACAGGTGCAATGTACAATTGCAGAGATGAACATATAGCTTCTGTCAGTCGTAAAGGAGATCTTATACTTCACAACCTTGCTTCTGGCACAAAAGCTGCTGAACTCAGGGACCCTAATGGACAGGTTAACTATATCTTTTTCAGGCACTGGTATTGCTGCATTGTGATTAGAATATATTTGGTCTGATCTATCTGATTCTGTTCTTTTGTTCTCCTAAAATTACAAGACCAGGTTTTGGGTGCACTAGATTATTTTAGAATGAGCAGACACTTTTTAGTGACGGCTGGTGACGATGGGTCCATTCATCTGTGGGACACAACTGGTCGCAGCCCAAAGGTAAGGATTGTAACAATGAAATTTTCCAATGGCCAAAGGCTTTACTGCTCTCATGCTTTAAATAGAACAATTAAAATGTGGCCTTTTTAAATTTATTAGCAGATACATATTGGCATCTTCTGTGGAAAGGTGTTAACTTGGTTGATTTTCAACAAGTGAACCCAAATCTGTGCTTATTCCTTTTCATGACCACAATAGATATCCAAGTAATGCATATTCTGACAAAATAAGTTTGCTTGAGTAATTAGTGATTAACCACTTAATTTAGTATGTGAAGATTTTCCCATACTTAAGGAGAGAAACTTAAAAACAACACAGTTCAACCTACAAAGATACCTAGCAGTTGAAGGCCTTATTGAATTTAACAATGCTTCATTGAGTCATATTTCACTTGTAAAATCACAATTGTACAATTGATAATTCTCTCAAAGTCCCTGTGTTGCCCAATGCTCATCTTTTTCAAATAAAAAATGAATTAGAATTCTTTTTACTGTATGCTCCTGCCTCCTTGGACATTCATTTTTCTAATTGATGAATATGATCCATCTTACTGGGGTACCAGTGATCCTTCTTTTCATCCTGTTACATTTTTGGACCATCTATAAACTCCCTTCAGTTTCAGAGCCCCGTCACTTCGATACTAAGACTTGCTTTCGACATATGAAGAGATAAACAACCCCTTTTGAGCTTTTCTCCAAATATATGATGTCATCTTTTCTCTTCAGATGGTGATTATGAATGTCTCTGTTTTTGCTTCAATGCAAAATAAACGCTTTTTACTCTATTATGGGTCATAGGCAGAGCACAAAATTGTTATCCATGGGCAAGCATGATTTAAGATATTTAGGTATGAATTATGAAAAAGGACCACAAATTTACACTGTGATATTTGTTTCACCAACAAGTTGCTTTGTCGCTCTTACTTTGACTGCGCTATGTTGCCAATTAAGTTTTATGATGACCTGATTCTGTGTCTGAAGTTTGTTATATACAACCATCTGCCTGCCTGCATGTAAGTTTGGTCTGTCTAACTCCACAATCTTCATTTGTTTATGCATCACAATTGAATCCTTGAATCTGCACTGTTGATCTCCTTGTTTCAGTGAGTTCACCTGAGCGAGGTTTTAATGTTCTCATTCTGCATTTTCTACGAGGGCTATTACATTATAGTATATCACAGCCTATCCTTTTTAGAAACCGCATTCTGCACCCACCTCTGGTATCAGTTACTCACCATTCAATGATAAGGTCTCTACTCTCAAGTTTATCGTTTTGGCTTGAATTTTTATGTTTCCTTAGGCCATTTATAATCAAGCTGGTGTGACTTTTTTCTGATGTTACATTTCTTTTTCCCTTCTTGGTTTGACAGATAATTGCGAGTGTCGGTCTGGATATGAAATTATACACTTTTGACACCGTATTAAGGAAGCCACCTTCTTGTATTCCTTATGAAGCACCATTTTCTTCACTGGCATTCTCCGATGATGGATTAACCTTGGCATTTGGTACAAGCACTGGCCAGGTTGTGTTCTATGATGTTCGTGGGGAAACCACAACCAATAACTGTTCTTCGTGCATATGGGAATGCGGAGGTAAATGTCACGTTTTAAGAATTGCGGGCACCTTCCCTAATTCGAGATTTGTTGTATGAATGGTTTACCGTTTTAATGATTGATTCAGAAAGCATCTGCAATATTAGTGTTATTCCATGTACTGTTATTATTTCTGTTGCGTATTGACTCTTGCCTAGAAAATCCAATATTTGTTTGTTGATTTACCTCCTAAATAGTTTTTTGGAAGATATGAGGAATGCGTAGTATGTTTTTTCATATCAGAATTAGCTATGTAGTGTTGTGTACTAATTGCTATGTGCTTGTCCACAATACATTCCATGTTTGTCTTCATCCATTGATTCTGAAGTAGCTTCACTATATTCATTAAACATGATGACATGCGAAACCTTCACATTGAAATTCTAAGGCAATTCCATATGCAAGAGGTATGCTGAATGCATCTCATCTCTCGTCCATTTTGTACATGACTCGTGATCACTCTAATAGTCGAAAGTATGGTGCAGATAGAAATGTCTGGTGTCATGAAATCAGTGTTAGAAAACCAAGCTGAGATTATGAAAGAACTTCAATCGGAGAGAGGAAACAGAGCAGCTGCAGAAGTTGCTTTGAGTAACAGCCCAGCTTCTCAAGTGCCGTTTGAGAATGTGATTTCGACTATTTTGTTTAGAAGTGAGTTCCATTGTGAGTTGCATTGGTATTTGCGTTGCCCGAGCTTGACAATTGTTTGGTTATCGCTTACAGGTTATTTTGTTTAGCTTTCCGAGCGACTGAAAAGTTCAGGGAGCAACGTGGTTAGAAAGTCAGCCGAGCCGGCCCGAGTGTGGTTCAAGAAGCTAAATATGTACATGCCTTTTGACTTGAAAGAATAAAATATACACACACACCCACAAGGCCTCTTTTGTTTTACTAAAAATTGTTCAAGGAATTGAATATTTTTTACTCTTTAATATAATATAATGTAGTTTTAATGTACATTGTCAAAACAATGCCACACTAACATTATGAATGGATATACTTTTACGTAACACGGTAATACACACATGAAGAATCATGTTTTTTTTTTTTAAAAAATAAAAATAAAAATAAAATGTTTATACTTCTATATCATTCTATGTCAATTAATACTGAGAGAAACATGATTTTTCTATTTTTTAACGACATAAGCATGTCAACTAATCTTCTATTGATTGACATATTTTCAACTGTAAGCAGTAGAGCATGATTGTAAATTGAAATATTTATGAATATTATTTTTCAAAGTGACATTTCAATTTCAAAATATTTAATACCTATTTTAGAAAAACATTTCAATTTCAAAATATTTAATACCTATTATGAATATCAACAACTTGAAAGCTTATGTGGTAAGATTAGGTCGAATAAGCCCTGCAGCAATACATGTGTGGTGATTAGGGAAGTTCAAAAATATTTACGGGTCTCAAAGCATCTCGAATACACAAATGTTATTGTAGTATATTTTAACAAATATCAATTAACCAGTTGTACTGTGAACCACAAATGATAATTGTTATATTTATAACTTTAAGACTAAAAAATTATCTCCCGTGGAAAATATAATCAAACACAGTATTGTTCACTTGATTCTCACACACACATCCCCTATATATAATTTTCAAATTCGCCGAATCTACGTGGTTGCTTGCTTCTGGTGCTTTGGAATCCTACTTGGCGAAAAATCATGCTTCGTAATTAGGTTTGGACAAATAATATTGATATATTAACGGTTAATAATCTAGATTCGGACATTCCATAAGTATTATTTAGCTAACTTAGGTATTTTAATATCACTTATACTAATATAACTCTTTAAATCTTTATAATTTTACATATTGAGGCACTAAGTGACTAATATGTCTCTGACTTTTGATTTGTTTCCTTCAAATATCTATTGAATTGTAAATGTATTTTAAAAGTTCATAACTTTTATATTTCTTATCAATTTTACATATATAATATATCAAATTAATCATCATTTGACGATCTTCGCTTTGACATTCATATTGTAGGTATGAAATAAATAAATTATATTTATCTTTATAATAATAAAAAATAATACTACCTCCTATTTTAAATAGATGTCGTTTTTGGATGTTGGGAATATTTTTTTTGTCAATAATAACCTTATTTAATGAAGATAGAGATGAATGTTTTGAGAAAAAAAGATGAAGAGTGATTATGAAAAGACGTGATGTATTTATTAGCTAAATGGGGGTAATAATGGGAAAATATGTACAAGATATCCAAAATGACATTTATTTAGCAAATAGTTGATAAAGCTAGAATGACATTTAAAAAAAATAGGAGTGAGTAATATTTATTAAAATTCATTAGCAAAATAAAATTATTTATCAATTGATTATTTATGTTTAATGTAGTTATATGTTGTAAGTTAATATGTTTTTATAAATGTTATTTAAATTTTCAACTACTTTTTCTCATTAATTTTAGATTTTAAGAAAAAAAAAAAAATTAACAAGCACCCGTGTAATGCACAAGTGTTGTACTAGTCCCTCCCTATATTCAAAACGTGTTGAGCCTATGTGGTAGATTCTCATGCTTCGGTTGCTGACATGGCAAAAATCTATGTTTCGTGATGTTATTTTAATATTATTTTTATTTTGGAGTTAGGTTTGATATTAGACATAAATATCTTCTCATATATTCATTAATTCATACATGGGTATTAGTACTATTATATGATTAAGAAAGAAAATCAATTTTTAAGTAATTAAATATATTGAAATTGGTAATAACACCATCATTGATCAATCAAGCAATTGTGATCAATTAATTGGTAACCGACTCGTTCCCGGGATAGGTCCATCTGAACCGGGCCGGTTTTCGATGTTTGGATATATGTATAAAAATAGACTTCCACCAAGCCAACCGGTTTGAATTCCTTCACAAATTCAACCCCTGAAAACGGCGGCATCTCTCTACACATATTCCTAGGGTTTTTGACATCTGGATTTCGGATTCCGACGATATGATCATCAACTCCGGCGAACCGAACAACACCCTAGGTTCGAGCTCGAGCTCGATAAGCGAGACGGTGAATGGCTCGCACAATTTCACCATTCGAGGCTACTCTTTGGCAAAGGGGATGGGCCCTGGGAGGTACATCTCGTCGGATACTTTCAGCATCGGCGGTTATGATTGGGCGATTTACTTTTACCCCGATGGGAAAAACCCCGAGGACTCCTCTATGCATGTCTCCATATTTATCGCCTTGGCGAGCGATGGCACTGATGTGAGGGCGCTGTTTGAGCTTACGCTTTTGGATCAGAGTGGGAAAGGGAAGCATAAGGTGCACAGCCATTTTGATCGGGCTCTGGAGAGCGGGCCTTACACACTGAAGTACAAGGGGAGCATGTGGTATGCTTGCTGTTTAGTATAATGCATTCTGATTTTAGTGTTTAATTTCTTTTTTTTTTTTTTTTTTTTTTTGTGGTCTCTATTGTCCCAATTGTGTGTGTTTGTATTGTTGATTTTGTGGACAGTAGGTGGATTTTGTGTCTTCTGATTTTAGTTGGCTTTGGGAAAACTAAGGTGGGTCTCTTCTGATTTTGTGGTCTCTTCTGATTTGTGGACGAGTAAGGTGGATTTTGTGTCTTTTTTATTCTTCCTTCAAGCATAGAAGCTCTAGGTGAATTCCTTACTTCAAGTCCTAGATCACAGCTGTTGCTGATGGAGCTATATCCCCCCGAGCCAAGTGGAGCATGCATGTATATTCTCCAAGAATGTGTTGGTGATCGTGTATAGTCAAATTGTGGCGATAAAATGATCTGATTGTGAAGATGGAATTTGTAACTTTTCTGGCTTGATTAGAGTTGTTTGTTGGGACCCTGGATTGCACTGCAGAAGTTACGAACTGTATCAATCAACTTGTTTGACTATACAACATTTTTCTGACTTGTTGTTAACAGGATTAGGTCTACTAAAGCAATATGGTTTTTAATGTCTCCTAGTTCTTTTCTATTTATCTTTTTATATTTGATATTCTGTGAGATTGTGCAACTGCTGAGAAAAGTCACTATATGCCTTATCACATGTTTTAACTTCTGCAAATTGAGGAGAGTAGCATGCTTTGCTTTGTCCTGAAGTTCTCATATTATTGTTGCAGGGGTTATAAGCGATTTTTCAGAAGAACTTCCTTGGAAACTTCAGATTTCTTAAAAGATGATTGTCTTTCTGTGCGTTGTACTGTGGGAGTCGTTCAAAACCGTGTTGAGGGACCAAAGTTGCTCAGTGTTTCCGTTCCTTCATCAGATATCGGCCAAAACCTTCAGCACCTGCTTGTTTCCGAAATTGGCTGTGATGTAACTTTTCATGTTGGGGAAGAATCGTTCAAAGCTCACAAGTTAATACTTGCAGCCAGATCTCCTGTATTCAGAGCTCAATTTTTCGGACTTGTTGGAGATCCAGATAGCGACAAAGTGGAACTAGAAGATGTTGAGCCTTCTATCTTCAAGGTAACACCATCCATTAAAACATTTGGCAGATTGGGAGCATATGTGCGCTAAACTCTTAAGTACATTTTATCTTTCACTTGTATTTGAATGACATTGTACAGTTTCTGTTTGTGTGGCAAACCTAGGCTGATTACCAATGGCAACTGTTTGGCAGTTTCTGTACGTTGCCCTCACACTCATAATTCTAGTCTTCTAAATATGCATTTTGCCCATTATGGGTGGCAAACTGTTTGTGCCTGGTTGTTATGGCTTGAACATTAAAGTTTGTCATGCCTAAAATTCAAATGTGGACATAATTCAACTAAAAAACTCGTCAATAACACGATAAGCAATTGTTTACTTTATCAAGCTAATGGGTCTGCTTGGCCAATTAAACCTGATAAATTAGGTGTTTCAAATAGTAAATATGTGCCTTTTTTTATGTATATTACAGCACCTAAAACACATTCTAATAAATGTAACTAACATGATCAATCAAATGGGTTTTAAAATTATTAACACGAAAAGTTATAGTACTGTTAAACGCTGAATCTTATTTGCTCAAATGAGAATGATTTTCGAAATAGAAAGAAAAATTGGCATGTCTTATAATGCTTATCGGGCCAGCATGATAATGGCCCACTTCTTAATATGCCTTATGTTGCCGGCCTGAAAGTCATAAGATACACTTCAAACTCTATAATTCCGTATACTGCTCTCACATTGCGGTTTTGAATCTGGATGCAGAATCTGCTGATTGCATTTTTTCCATGTTTTAGGTAGCCAATGATAAATAGATTATTTGACATGCCTCTTCAGTGATCTTAAGCACTACTTTAATTAAATCAACTTTGCATTCGTGAACATATTGGAGGATTCAGTATGTTCACAGTTCCATGAAAACCCAGACTAGGTACACTGTTTCCTTCTTCTTTTGTTAAGTCCATGTAAGCAATCATGAGAAGGTTCGTTGCACATTAATGTCATTTTCAGTCATTTGTAATTTAAATTGAAACCATTTGTGGCTATGAATATTTTGCAGGCATTGCTCCAGTTTATTTACTCGGATGAGTTCCCCAACTTTCATGAAATAACTGGCTCAACATCCACGCCTTCTGCAATCATGGTGCAACATCTATTGGCTGCTGCTGACCGGTTTGGCTTAGATAGGTTGAAACAATTATGTGAAGCGAAACTATGTGAAGAGGTCTGTGCTGATACAGTGGCAACAACTCTTTCTCTGGCGGAGCAGCATCACTGCGTGCAGCTCAAGGCTATTTGTTTAAAATTTGCGGCAACAAACTTGGGAGGTGCGTGTAGTCCATAGATCTGAGCGGTTCATTATTTCAGGTTATGTCAATATTAATCTTTTTGATCTGCTATGAGCAGCCATTCTCTAATAAATAAAATGCATTTGCATGATAAATAGAATGTAATGGTTTTCCACTTATAATATTTGAAATGTGCTATAATAGCGTATTAACATTTCAACACACGTGGACAGTTCTATTCATTTGTCCAGTTTCTCAAAAATTAAAAAATAATAATAAAAAAAATCAACCAATTATTGAGGTCTTCACAACCTTTTTCGCACAATATGATGATGATGTGGATTTTAGAATGGGCCAATACAATGAATGTGATTGTAGTCAGTAGTCTGGCTGGAGAAATGGTTTTTTTATTTGGACGATAAGTATCTAAGATGTTTATTGTCTCCATATTCTTGTAGGACATCTTACATGAGAACATCATGTGGGAAATTAATGCCGTGCATACCATGGTATGTTAAGACTAGCAAATAGTGCAGTGGGTTTTCTGCTGGATTTTTTTGCACAATGTGTTCTAGACGTCCGTATTAAAAGCTCGATTATATTAGTGTTGGAAAAAGTTATAATGATATTCTTCTCAGTGCCCTTTATGTTTCAAAGAGGATAAAAAAGGACAGTCATTCTATAGCTTTTGGATATTTTAAGTTTACATAAGCTTTTGTCTCTGAATAATCTTATTTTTGTGTAGTTGATATTCTCAATCATGGTACTCAATCTTGCTTCTTGAGCTTGAATCTGTTAATATGCTGCAAAAAGAATAATTCTGCTGAATATATCAACCTCGGAAGTTAGATAACCTGTGTTAAACATATTCTGATTCCTTGCGTGAAGGATTTTTCTTCTCAAGAGATGTGTTTTTATATATTTAACTTTTATTGCATCTTGAATCAGAGTTATTACATGCAGTTTAAACGCAGACTTGTTTCTGCTGTAAATTAGCAAGTCTAAACATATGGGTTAGTTAATCACCATAAAAGAATTTATGCTTGCCTTTTCTAATATGAGATGTAGTCATCTATAGACATTGGGGTGGGCAATAAATTATTATTTTCTGCGAGAGGCATGTATATTTATGTTTACTATGAACAATCATTGAATACTGTTAGAAGTTATGTTTGTGTTGTACATCGATTAGTTACTACACTATTAGTGTAGTAACACAAGTCTATGTTTAATTTTACAGACCCATTCACAAAAACACTAACATTATCTTCTTCTAATGTTTGCCTTCATCCGAAACCAATGGTAAACTTACAATGCAAGATAGAAGCACCATGTTTGAAGTGAAATACGTCAAATTGGAAATTTTTGTTAACTTACTCCCTAATTTGCTGTGGCAGCCGTGATGCAGTCGGATGGTTTCAGACACTTGGAGCAGAGCTGCCCGTCTCTTTTGTCCGAGCTGTTGGAAACTGTGGCCTCAGTGGACGAGAAGTCGAATATCTTATACGGTAAGAAGAGGAGTGGGAGCAGTATCTTTGGGCTGGATCTCGACGTGGATGGTGGGCCCCACTCTGTGGACTCGAATGGCCGGAGGGTACGGAGACGGACTTAGTAGCGTTGTGGTTGCCTTGCACAGAACAAATAGACGCGCAAAGTAATATTTAGTATGTGTTTTTTTACTTCTGGTTATACTTGATACATTTGTTCCATTAGTAGCATATTTTGCGGACTCGGCTTCTTTGTGGGAACACCTGTGCAGTTTCGTTCAGCGCCTCGTATATAAATAAAGAACGAGATGATTTAAAAAAAAAAATCTGAATTAAATAGAGAACAAAATGATCTTTTTTTTAAAAAAAAAAAAATAATAAATTTTTATTTTTTGGTTGTGAATGTCATTCTAAATTAAACTCTGAAGCTTGTGATTTTATTGTGAAGTCTGCCAGTCAATAACAGATTCATGACATTGGGATGAAGAGACCGGAATTGCTTGAACAATAAGAAGAAAGTAAAATTTGATTGAAAGATCTGGATTTCGTTTTGAACCCAAATACGTGGGAATATTTCGAAAATGAATAATATTTTCTCTCAGGTGATTATGGAGATAAATTGATAATTTTTCTTTTTTCTTTATCTATTTGTATTATTTTTATTTTGAAATGCAGTTTTCATTGTTATTTCTATTAAAAATAAATTACTTATTTGTATAATTAAATCGAT